CCCAGCCGCTGGTTTGGGGTGGGGGTGAGGGTCCGGGCTCCTGGGCCACTTGCAGCGGGGGGGAGGCAAAACGTCTGGGTTCATTTTCAGCATCTTTGCTGAATCATTGCGATCCTGGGGAGAGCTCTTCCACCGTCAGCTCTCTGGCTCCTCTGCGATGGAAACCGGCGCTTCCCGGCTCCTGCCACAGGCCTGGGCCCCTCTGCGGCCTGGGCTGCCAGCGGGGATCCCTGCCCCTCTCTTGCTGTGGCTCCTTGCTCCGTGCACGTGCCGAGCCCCGTTGTGTGTGCAGGGAGGCTTGGTGTTTCTGACCCCTGCCTTCCTCCAGAGCTGTTTGGAGACATGTTGCCACACACAGACAGCTACCAGTTAGTTTCACAGGAGCAGCATACCTGGGTAAAACCCAGCCGTTGTCATGGGTGCTGAGAGCCTGGGAGCCTGGGGCTCCTTCAGCAGGGCCAGCCTAGATACAAGCATCTTCTTTGCCCCTCCTTCCATGAGAGCCGAAAGTAATATTGTGATGTGGGCATTTTAAACGAGTCGCAGTTAAAATAAAAGTTCAGAACCCGGACTTAAAGCAGGATGGCGTAGAGCTCCTCAGGGGAGGGAAGGAAACTTCAGGAGCTTGGAATTTATAGTGATGCAATTAGACATAAAGGAGTGAAAATGCTGCATGGCTAGCATGAGCGTTTTTCCCTTCTGCCTGAGGTGAAGACTAAGTATTAGTAAAAAGCAACTAAAGAAAAGCAGGTACTAAGTTAATTTTTAGTAGACTGTATTAGTCATTATAAACTTGACATGTGTAGAAGGGGATGGATGCTTTCTTTAGTGAGGCTGATCTGCTGAATTACCAGAAGATTCGGTAACCAGTTGTTTTAAGAGCTCGCCTCCTCCTCACTCCCTTGGTTAGGGTAGCACACTGCTGGATCCACATGGATTCACTCTGCAGACTATCGTCTCGCTGTACAGTTTGGTGGAGTACAGTCACCACTGGTGCTAGCTTAGTTTTTGTCAGTTCAGGTGAGTCACTGATAATGATTTGCTGTAAAAACTTGCCTTTCAAATGTTACGACTGGCTGGGGAATGGAGAGGTTGTCCATGTACAGCGTAGCTGTGCTGAGGGCAGGAGTTTCTTTTTCTCGTGTTTGGAGATGTGAACGTGGGAGGCAGGGAGCTCACTAAGTGGGTGAGTAGCTTGAAATACCAAGTGTATTTATCTGTGTAAGTGGAGTCCTAGCTTTGCTCTTTTTAATTTTTAAGTTGCCATTTGTAGAATTCCTGTCAACTCTATATTGACCTAGAAATCTAAGGTAACTATTGAGCTTAAACAGTTTGTGTGGACGTTAAGCAGCGTGTGTTGTCATATTGATACCAAACTAGCCGTTAAAGACTAGTGCCACAAGTAAATCCTTTAATTCTTTTGTTGGAAAAACTAGATGAAAGACATTCAGAGCCCATCAGGTGGTGCGTGCCTCTTGACTTTCAACTGTTAGGTGTATTTCTGCTCCTCCTTTAAGCACCTGCATATGACACAAACACTATGATTTTCTCCAGGTGCAGCGTGTAGCCTGTGGCCTTGACCCAATGCAGCGCACGTGGTCCCAGCAGTGCGAACGCTTGGCAGTGCTGCTGGCGTCCCCTGGGCCTGTCCTGAGCCCGTGCGTGTGCGTTCACAGATGTGGATGTTCAGCTGACTCTCATTTGCTTCCTCTGAATTTCAGCTTGCAAAATGGTTGCACGTTAGCAGCTCTGTTCTGGGAGAAGCCCTGCTGAAGTTAATGGAACTACCTGTTGCAGTAGTGTTGCTGGTAAATCGCCTTGTAATCCTCTGAGTCATAATATATGAAATAAGAGCGAGCATTTTATAGATGCAGGTATCTAATTTGGTGTATTAAGTATAAAATGATGACTTGAGTGCTTTTCTTCAAAGGTACTTGCTTCTCGTGTCTTTCTCGTTTCGGATGTGCTTGGTGCTGTGATGACGGTGTTAATGCTGTGTATCTTCTCCCTGCTCGCAGACGCAGCTTAACGAAAGCAGGGCTGTGGTTTGACACAATCAGCACACTGCTGCTCTCCCCAAAGAATGACATCGTTTGGCTTAAACGGTGTCAGCAGTTTGTCTGGCTGAATTTCATCTTAAATGAGTATTTCTTATAGGTTACTAAAGGCAGCCTGTCTTGGGATATGGCTGCGCGTCGTCTGTTATCTGCTGTCTGGACACGCGTAGCCGCGTTAGCGAGGCTGTCCCTGGGTGCGGTGTGTTGTTGTGTGACACAGGGACAAGAGCTGGCTTGAGGCTGCCCATCCCGGCGCGCGGATGGAGTGAGTGTCTGCCCAGCCCCACCGATGCATCGCTGTATTTCATTCGGGAAGAATTTAAAGCATCGTTGAAAGGGTGTACGTCATGAAGGGCGTACATCCCCACCCTTGTTGTGATGCGGTTTGCTAGTCCTTATCTCAGGTTGTACCTGAAAAGAGCTATTTTTGCCTGTGAAGTTGTCTAGAAATTCAGAGCTCCCAGGCTGGTGAGGGAAGCAGCGGGTAGTTGCAGTCACACTCGGGCATTTTAGGATGGCTTCCCGGTACCATCCCTCCGCGTTGTGCATCTTGCTCCAGCACCGTCTTTGCCAGGGAGGTTTGTGCGTGCCTGGTGATTCCTTACGCAAAGGTCAGTGAGACTTCTCGATGCCACTTATATGTTGAGGGCTGGGTTGTTTCAGCTAATTGCTCTCGTAAATTATTCACTCTGGTGTTGCATAGCAGTGCTGTGATCAAAGATTAGTTCATGCCCTTGGACAGACAGGTGGTGTCATCTGTTTCTTTCCCTGATAAAGAAAGTCTTGATTCATCTGTAGTGTGGACTTAGATGCTGACCAAAATAACATAGTATCTGTCCACCAGTTTAAATTACTCTGATGGACATCTGTCTGTGAAATATTCTGAATCTATAATTCCAGTTAATTTTTTTTAAGACTGCAAATCTTTTCTATCATAATTACTAGTGAAGTTTTTGTCTGGCTGCATCATTTCACTTTCAAGTGAATGTTTTCCTTGAATATCAGAAACCTGTACCAGTCTCTCCTATGGTTTTAATGCATCTTCATGTTATACTGGTGATGTACTTGACCAGAATAACACCTGTAAGTCCTGGGATTTAAAAGGTCTGTGCTGTTGATAGAAGTTAATGAGCTGTACTTGAATGACAATTCCAAATAAAGAAAACCCAAATGAATTCACTTCTTGATTTGTGAGCAGTTAAAAAAAATAATTACAGAGGTTGGCAAAAGAGCTGGCATTCCAGGTTTATCTGCTGTCAGGGGGGTGTGCTTTAATGTACTTTCTTGAGGCATGCTCCGTCTCTAATTTGTAAAACTAGGATCCTGGTACGACTAGTTCTGTATCTTAGTATTCCTTAGTCTTCTGTTGTCTGACCTCACGATTTTCGTACACTGATTTTGTTTTTTCTACTCTTCAATACATCTGCGATGCAGCTGAGGCTGTGCTTGTGCTGCCGGCCCCCAAAGGCCTGAGCTGCTGGATGCTGTTGTGCCCGGGCTGTGGGTTTGGGCAGGGCAGCAGAGCCCAGAGAGGTGGGATGTGCTGCCTTGTTCTGTGGTGAATGAGACCGACCTCGTTTGCTAGGAATGAGAAGGGCAAGTAATCTTTTTGGTTGGGAATTAACCCTGAACCTTCAGTTGTTTTGGAACGTAGGGCTCTGGCTCGGCTCAGTCTTCGTGCTGCTTTTAGCTGGGCGACTGTTGTGTTGAAGTTTGCTAGTAAAGGGGATGGGAGCAGAAGTCTTCGTAACTGTGTGATCTTTAAGATGTAAAAATAAACAAAGCTGAGAAGCTGTACCCTACTTAAAACAGACTGACCTAAATTTTCAGCAGTTCTAGCAGAGAGGCAGGCTCTGGGTAGGGATGAAGGCTTGCTGCCGACTGGCTTCCCTGTCCATGCATCGCCTGATGTGGT